TCCAGAGAGGTACGAAGTAGCTCTTGAGTTTCTTTGAATTGAATAAAGTATAGCAATAAGTTGTTTATTAGCAGATGAGGTGTTAAACTTAAACTTTTGTTTAGTACTTACCTAGTATCTTAAAAAGGTATGATTTTTTTTACTCAACATCATTGTACAGTAAGATACAGAGACTATTCCATGCATGTATGTATAAAGGCATGCTTTTTTGCTCAACATCATTTTAAGTAAGATATAATTATTTTTGCTAAAATGGGGAAAAGTTTCCCTTCAGAGGCCCTCACTGTCTCCTTTTCATTACCTATGGTATGCTCAGACATCTAATTTTCCCATTTTCTCCTTGTTTCAGATCAAAGAGATGGGTTCAGCTTTCACGTCGTGCCGACTTGATTGGCATCTCATCTGACTACCTAAATGCAAACGTCAAGATCTGCTCGAGACACTTCGAGGCATCACAGTTTGTGGGTGACGGTATGCCCAGGCAGCTGAAGAGGACTGCCGTCCCCACTCTGTTTGACATACCCAACCCACCAGCACCAGTGACCATCACACGGCCACTAGCAACGAGGAATCAGGCTTCCACCTCTATTCCTTCGCAAGGTAAGCTGACAGGGTGAATATTTATATCTAACAGGTTCTTTATGCTCATATTTTTGTTTGTTTTACAGGTTTCCAGGTTTTCCAGGTTTAGCTTTAACATCTCATATTTTTGTTTAAATGGCCTCTTGATAAGTTTCATAATCTCCATCTTTTTAAAACGTTGCAACAACATTCAAGACACAGAGCAGTAAAAGTTGGGCACTTGTATTTGTCATTGTATTTAAAAATAATTCGGAGTAATGCTTACTTTTTCTTCTATTTATGAATGCTCTTATTTAGCTCTCTTTGGAATTGAGTTGGGTATTAAGGCTATAATTGAATAATGGTCATGTTTGCAGTTTGCTGTTCATATTTTGCACAGTTCTCAAGTTCAACGTTTATTTCAAAATGTGTCCAACTCAAGTCCCATTCATAAGCTATATCATATTGTATCATGAGCTATACTGTGCTGCGCGCTTTCACAGTGCTGCGCGCTTTCGCAGTGCTGCACGCTTTCCTTGCCAAAGACTGGCAGGTGTGGCCAATAATGCCCCCGCCCTTCCACCCAGGCCAGGCAAAAGTTAAAGCTCATCTTTGCTCTTCTCTGACAGATTCTTTGGTGACATTTTGTTTTTGTTTTATTTCACAGATCAACTGGAGCGCCCTGTCATCGAATGGGGAGGCGTTGAGACGATCCTGGGAGAAGAAGCTCCAACTGATGGACTTCCCGAAAAAGAAAACCAGTCACCAGCTGGAGATACATCATCCAGCCCTGTGACTGTGCCACGCAAGGGCAGGCAAGCAGCAGCATCACTGGCCAACAAGTACCGGTGTCGTGCAAGATGGCAGGCTAAGGTGATTGAAAAGCTGAAGCGGAAGCACACTATGACAACTGAAGATGCTCTGGCTCACCTGAAGAACGTGCTGCCACCAAAGATCTTCAGCTTCGTCCGTTTCCAAGTGAAGGCCTCAGCGACTGCGCCTCACGGTCGGCGGTACAGTGACGACGAACTTATGTACTGCCTGGCTCTTTATTACCAAGGTGCCAGGGCATACCGGCAGCTGAGGACAAGGTTCGTCTTACCAAGTCCACGAGTGCTGCGCAACAGGATGATGCACATCCAGACGCTACCTGGGTTCCAAGACACGCTGCTGGAAGTGATCAGCGAACAGCTGAAGGGTGCACCAGATCAGGACAGGATGGTCGTCCTATCGTTCGATGAGATTCATCTAAGGAAAAAGCTGACCTATGTCCGGTGGATGGACCGTGTTGAGGGAACTGAGGACTTTGGCGCTCTGGGGACAACGCCAAGGCTGGCTGACAGTGCCCTGACGTTCATGGTGCGTGGGCTTACCAAACGCTGGAAGCAGCCTGTGGGCTACTTTTTCAGTGCCGGGCCAGCAAAAGCGGAAGTGCTGTGGAAGCTCCTTGAGCAAATGATCCGAAAACTGCAACAGGCAGGTCTGATCGTAGCAGCTACAGTGTGTGACATGGGAAAGCCAAACCAGAAACTGTATGAGGGCCTGGGGATCACTCCGGAAAACCCCCAGTTTGTTGTCAATGGCAGCCCAGTCATTGCCATGTTCGATGTGCCGCATCTTTTTAAGTGCCTGAGAAACTGCTTATTCAAGCAGGATGTTGAAGTAGATGGCCAGAAGATGAGCTGGGACCATGTAAAGCAGTTTTACCAGCTAGACAGCCAGAGGACGATAAGGGCGGCGCCAAAACTCAAACGGAACCACGTGCTCCTGGGCCCCTTCAAGAAAATGAAGGTCAAGCTGGCCACTCAGGTCTTCAGTCGTTCAGTTGCATGCGGCATGCAGCTCTATGCAGATCCGGTTGTTGGTGAGTGCCACTACTGCGTTCATAGATTAGGCGACTGTGATGCATGGATATTTTAGTTTTGTATTTGCACCTTTATTTACCTTTCTTATAAGAACTGTGATCAGATAGTATTGTTGTGTATTTGAATACTGCTGTTTTTATACGTGCCGCAATTTTACGCATCATTTCTTTTCCTTTTTGAAATTGGGACTTACGCTAAATGGGTACCTAAATTCAAAACTGTTACCTGCCGTCTCATATAACATAGGCATTGTCTAAAAGGTAAGAAGTGGGAGTGCTCCCGTGTCATTTCAACTTAGTCCGATTTTCTCCACAGGACTTCTGGGACCAGAGATCCTGGCAACTGCAGAGGGCCTGCTGCGACTGAACGACTGCTTCGACATCTTGAACAGCAGCCGTTTTGTAGATGCCTGCCGCAACAAGAGGGCGTTCTGCACTCGGACCGAAGAGGAGCACAGAAGGATCCTTCTGGAAACGTGCAACTGGCTGGGCCGGTGGGAGAACGTGGCCGCGACGGACAGCGTAAGAGGGCTGCAGCTCACCATCAACGCGACCCTTCAGCTGTGGGATATAGTGAAGGGTAAGCTGAAGTTCCTGCTTACCAGGAGGCTGAGCCAAGATGGTCTAGAGAACTTTTTCGGCGTGATTCGCCAGGTGGGCCATCAGAATGACAACCCCAACCCAACTCAGTTCCGAGAGGGTTATCGAAAAACCGCCCTGAACAGCGTGATGTCCGCTTCCGAGCACACCAACTGTGAGCCGGACGCCGACAAACTGCTGACCGCGCTGACGTCAGTGGCTGCTCGAAGCAGCCAACCCCATCCTGGTTCCTCAGTGGAATTCAAAAGGGGCCTGCAGCCCCCAGTGATGAGCGTGCCTATAGACAAGGTAACGGACAATGTACTAAGCTATGTGGCCGGATACCTCATTTTCAAGGGTGAGGCCGAGCACAGTTGTGGTGAGTGTAAAACTGCGCTATGTGCCAGCACAAGGACTGTTCAAAAAGAAAGGGAGACTCTGATCGGCTTCAAAAGTTACACTGGCCTTCGAACCATCGATGTGGGCTCCTTGCGCGTGCCGTCAGAGAAGTTTTTTCTTTTGGTGAAGGTGGCGTATGAGGTCACAGAGTCGCAGATGGCCAGTGTGCTGTTCGGGCAAGGTGTGGTTCGTTGCCTGTCGGACTGTGTGGCTAGCAGTCCTGAGTACTGCTCCCTGAGTAGTGAGATGTGCAGGAGTGGCCGACTCCGACGCACCCTCGAAACCTTCGTCAGGATGCAGGTTCACGCACACTGCAGACACGCGACGGCAGCAGGCGGACCGGGTGTCAACCGGCTCAACCGCAAGCTGTTAAAGGTGACACAGCGTGTGTAACTATGACTATCGTGTACAGTCAGTCTTGAAAGTACCGCGCATCGATCGGTGCGGTGGATCCATCATGCCCGACTGAGGAAGGGCTGCTAAATTTGAGTCGTCGAACCAATTGACATCCGATGTCAGTTGGTACGACGACTCTCAAACTTAGCAGCCCTTCCTCGGTCGGGCTTGATGGATCCACCGCACCGATGTTCGGTACTTTAGAGACTGACGTACATACATGCCTATGGATGTGCATTAGCGTTCGTGTAAATATTCGTGTATGTATTATCGTATGTGTGTATGTACCTCGTGTGTGTCTTCCTTTATTGTGTGTATGTAAGCCAGCGAACTGGCAATGATGTGCGTGTTAAACGGCGGACGGCAGTGTGCTGTGTCCGGCGTTGTGTGTCCGCGTAGTGTGCCGATGGCTGTGTCGGAATGTTCAAATGGATGTGCCAGGGTTCCGTTTAAAGCCAACCAGAGTGAAAGAAAAGGTCGTTTTATCGAAGGTATTTGCTAGAAGGCGCCAAGCAAGGGCGAACAATATGACGTCCTGCGGTCAAGTCGGCCAGCCGCGATCGGCCAACGACCCGCTACACCATTCTTCCCAAGACCGATTCGTGGTCAATGGAACCGCCCTGGACCGCTCTACCGGTACCGGACGCTATTGGCCGATGCCCAACATAGGTACGGCTGGTTCAGGTCATGTAACTTGCCGATCATTTTCCGACTTCACTGGTATCGGCCGCTGTATAACTGAGCGGCGGCGGCGGGCTGTCCTTAGCAGGGACCAGTTTGCTCGATAGGTGGCAGCACTTTCGGGCGGTGACTCAACACAATGGGAATTCCGCGGAGTTGCCGATCCAGGTAGTTGGTAATCCATGCTTACCTGATGGAGAATATTTCATCGGTGTTGCACCAACCAACAGCCGTGACTGTATCGTGATGCCTCGGCTCCGCAAGCATGGACGTTTTAAATCTCATTTTTACTTGTTAGTGAGCACAGAAGTTATCTAGAAACAGCACCAAAACCATATTAGTTTGACCACCGTATCACTACACTCCAACTCCGGCCGTTAGCTTTCTGCTTGTAGTCTTGTTTACAAGAAGAGGAATTCCGGAAGCATAGAATATGTTCAACGATTGTCATTTTCCTGCCAACAGCCAATGACTTACCAGCATCGACCGAAAGTGGTGAACGTCGACCAATGAACGGCAAGCATTTCGCTACCGAACTGCGCTACGGACGCTTGTGCTCGCAGTAAAGAAAAGGCATTTATGGCGCATCTCTTTCAAATATGAATTTCATTACCAAAATTGGCAAAATTATAATAGGAGCATGATGTGTAATCTTCCTTACTTTTTGTGGTCTAATAGTAACATCGCGGTGTGAAATAAGAACAGGTGGGGTTTTTTTCTAAAGTGCTATGTCCTATGAACTTGTCCTGTGTTTAGCTTTCCTTCTTTCACAAACCTTGCACTGCATCTTGATCTTGCACTGCATTTTTTGTGAAGCTTTTCCAGTTCAAGTTCAAGTAAGCAAGCAATGAATTTGACTTATTTTTCATTCAGCATCCTCTCTTGAATCTTATCAGTTAGCACACAACTTATACAGTTAATTGTAGATGGAATCCCACATTACTTTCCCCATGTGAACACGTAGTTCACAAGTTGATGAGTCAGCATTCATGTCACCAGTACCTAGCCTTCTGTATAATAGGTATCACTTTTTGGTACTTATTATTACTTATTGGCACAAAAATTGATGTGCTCACTGCTCTTGGTGTGCTCTTTCCTGCTTGGTTGAGATATGAAAGCAGTGTCAGAAAAGTGGCCGTTTTCTCAATTTTTTTGAACTTGGAAGATTTGTTCCGTGAGATTTTTCACTGCTAATAATCACTTTTTTTATTCCGTCACTGACTAGATATCAACTGCAACTGGGCATCACAGGACTGAAAGGGAAACTTACTAAAGAAACATGTTAATTGAAAATTTGACACTTGTGCTTTGTTCTGTTTTCAGATCTCCAAAGCAGCAAGCAAGCATCCTGCAAATACTATTGAAGCAGACAAGAAGCAGTTGCTCCACAATTTCACCATGCAATCATCATAATTGAATCAGTCAAAATGCCAGTCATGATTACTTTCCAAAGTTGAAGTGCTTACAAGGTAGAACTATTGACAATTACCATGTCAAACTATCCAGCACGTTTTAAAACAAGCATGAAGGAATGAATCCAGTATACGTGCCTTAAATGTATGCTATTGAGTGTGTTTGTGAAATAAATAAATGTTTCCATCACATTTCTGACCCGTTTGTCTACGAATGAGAATCAGTTTACGAAAGAGAATCAGCCCGTGACAGAATGATGCCTACCTACCATCCAATTCAACCATGATCACCTGCATGTCACGTGCACGGAATGAGATCAGATGCTTCTTACGATAAATCAATATTATCACGAACAACCACCCATACCTGCGACTTGAATGGAAAGTCCTCACCACCAGGGCCTATTTTAAGATAATTGGACTGGGGTGGCCAGGCAGTGGTGGCGCCCCTGACTCTTGTGTGGGCACCCCCCCCCCCCCCCAACTTCCAACTTCACTTCCGAACAACTTCACCCAGGGGCGTAGCAAGGATTTCCTGAAGTTCCAAACTTACAGAGGCCCAAAATAACCCCCTCAAAATCCAAAAAGTCACCGGATTTCATCCACTATTCTTTGGAGGGGGGGGGGGGGGCAAAAATTAAAAATTTAAAAAATGAAAAAAAACGCTAAAACTGAAGGGGTAAGCAGTCCATGGGCCCCTGCTAGATAGGCCCACAAATAGCTTCATAGAGTCGCTCAGCCGGTTCTGAAGGCGGACTGAGGGCCCCGTAAGTCGGATGAGGGTCCTTCCGACCGTCAAAGGCCCCTACAGCCCATGAGAGCCTCTTAAGCCGTCTGAGGGTCATGTAAGCCGTCTAAGGGCCACTCAGGCCGACAAAAGACCCCTTGCACTTGCAGAGCGCCCTGTCGGATCGACGGATGGCCCTGTAAGGCAAACTTAGGGCCCATCAGGTTATTTGAGGGCCTCCCCAAACCGATAGGGGCCCCTCAGATCGACAGTGGATCTTATCTGAGATCCTTCAAACCGACATAGGATCAGACCAACAGTCGGAAACCAACAGATCAACAGATGGCCTCTCAGGTCGATCGAGGGCCCCATAGAACAAGGGCCCCTCAGAACAGCGGAGGGCCTCTCCTAGGTCGGGAGAGGGACACTGAGACTGACAGAGGCCCCTCATGTCGACAGAGGACCTCCTCAGGTGGGGGAAAGGCCCCTCCAGTTGATATAGGCCCCTTCAGACGAACAAAGGGCCCCTAAGGCCGATCGGGGGCCCTCAGACCGACAGAAGGCACTCTCGGTCCAAGAAGGGCCCTCCACGCAAATTGCGATTCCTTTACACTAACAGAGGACCCTTCAGATGTTAGTCAAAGAGCCCCATCATGAGCTCGCCTCAAAGGGCAACTCCACTCGTTCAGAGGGCCCCTCGGTAAGTAAGAGGGGCTCCGTCAAGCGATCAGGGGCCATTCCATGCGCTCAGAGAGTTTTACTGTAGCTCTGAAGGCCCACGTCAAGCAATCAGGGGCACCTTCATGCGTTCAGAGGGCCCTGTTGTGTATTCAGAGGGCCTTTATGCAGTTCAGAGGGCCCCTGGCAAGCAATCAGGACCCCTTTACGCGCTCAGAGGAATTTTCTGTAGCTCAGACGCCCCCCGTCAAGCGATCAGGCGGCCTTTCATGCTTTCAGCTAGAGGACCCTCTCGTGTACCCAGAGGGCCTTTCTTTAGTTCAGAGGGCCTTTATGTAGTTCAGAGGGCCCCTGGCAAGCAATCAGGGCCCTTTATGCGCTCAGAGGTTTTTTGTAGCTCAGAGACCCCTCGTCAAGCGATCAGGGTCCCTTCATGCGTTCAGAGGGACCTCTCGTGTATTCAGAGGGCCTTTCTTTAGTTCATAGGGCCCCTGTCAAGCGATCAGGTGGGTCCTTCATGCTTTCAGAAGGCCCCCGTCAAGCTATCAGAGGGCCCTTCACTAGCTCTGAAGAGGGCCCCTCGGACTTTAACCAAACTATAAGAAATAAATATTAAATAAAAATTAAAAGAGGCCAATCAAAAATAAGGTGGGTGATGTCCGCCCTAAAAATTGGGTAGGGTATATATACGTAGATAAAGTCCCCATAACATGTGGGGTCCCCGATTTGAAACAGCCCATCCCGGAACTTTTGAAATTTCGAAGGGCCCTGCCGTCAGCTTCGGGGACAGGGGCCCATGGAAGGCCCAAGGAGGGTCCCTAGGGGCCATAGGGACCCCTTTCGCTACGCCACTGACTTCACCCCATTGTTGATTGTAGATAAATCTAAATGTCTCGCCACGCCACTGCCCTGAGACGCTCTCCAGATTTTGAGGGCTTGTGGCTCTTTAATGCCAAGAAAGATGCATTGGTGACTAGTGTTGTGAATGTAATTTGTATGTTGCTATTTGTCATTGATGCGCCGTTGATAAATGATAATGATACCTACTGACATATCGCCCCATTTGTGGTGAGGCGCCTCAATAATAGTAGGACGATCCAGTAGCGGTATAGCGTCCCTGAGTGGCGCCCCAGTAAAGCTCCCTTAGGAGCGAAACGGCCCTAGTGACAGGGCGCCTCAGTCTCGGTAGGGCGCTCTTACTGTTAGAGTAAATGCGCCCCAGTAGTGGTACGGCACCTCAGTTGTGGTAAGGTGCACCCGTTGTGATAGGGCGCCCCAGTTGTGACAGGGCGCCCCGATAGTGGGAAGCGCCCCAATAGTGGTGGGCGCGCGCAGTGATAGTAGGGTGTCCTAGTAGTTAAGTGCGCTCTAATATCGGCAGGGCGCCCCAGGAGTGGTACGGAACCAAATTGTGAAAGGGCGCCCAAGGAGTTGGATGGTGTCCTAGGAGTAGTGGGGCGCCCCATGTTGATGGGTGATATGATACCACCACCCCAGTGGTGGTAGGGCGCCTCGTGCCGGTAGGGCGCACCAGAAACTTAGGGCGCCCCAGCACCAGCGGAACGTCACAGTGCGGCGTCCCATTTCTGATAGGGCGCCCAAAGGTGGTTGGCGCCCCACTCCCCAGATAGTGGTGTGGCTCCCCAATCGTGTCTGGGCGCCCCAATGTTGATAGGGCTCTTCAGTCGTGGTAGGCGCCCAAATGCTGGTAGGGCGCCCCATTGCCGGTAGTGTGTCCCAATCAAAGTAGGGCGCCCCCAGTAGTAAAAGGGCACCCCATTGGTGGTGGTGGCACCTCAGTGAGCCGGCCTTTTCCCCCTGTCAAGCTGAGTTGCGCCCCAAGAATGTGTCGCCTCCGTGATTGTCGGCAGCTAATATCTGTGGGCAGACTTTTGGGGTGTTTTTTTTTTTTCACTGGGGTGGCAAAGTAAGACGACTGGGGTGGAAAACCGCACCACTGGGGTGGGTTTTGCCACCCCAGTTAACATGTTAAAATAGGCCCTGCCACAATGTCTTTGCACCATGCACAATCCACACCACGTTTATGGGTACACTGCCCCGGGGTAGACACTGCCATTTCTTTTGCGTATTCTTTCATCAAATCAGTAACCATCGATTTCCTGCTTTCACGTCCACTATTGGGCAGAAAATGATCTTTATATGCAGGAAAAGCAGATATCAAGAACAATTAAACACTGCTTTTGACCGTGATGCGTATTATTTGTCGAATTTCCCAAAAGACGCTCTTTCGACCTTTCAGTGAGGCTGCCATATCCTCATAACGGCATTTCAATGGCAGTGCATTTCTCAATTTATGATAATCTTGTTCCGCGACACGGAACAAAAGTAAGGGTAGAATAAAGGTTGAAATAGGCTTGCAAGCGGTTCCAATTTGGTATGGAATCGTAGATTGTTCAATTCTGATTGTTTCTATGCCAATTTTTTATGTTTTTATAGACGTTTTCATATAGTTTTATCGAAACGCCGTGACCATGTTTCGTCACGGAACAACTCACTAAATTTGGAACGTTTAAGCATTTCCGACTATATTTTATAAAAAATTGGATACCGTTAGAATCGTTGAGAGACGGCGCTTTTCATAGCATAAAATTCTTGCCCAGTTGATGCCGATTACAGGTATAATACCGACATATGCTGATATCACTTTTACATGAAGTAATGTTTGTCTAGGGCATACAATCCCTTTGCTTTTTAACATATTATTTGGAATGAAGCAGCCAGCTTGAGGTCAAATGTAGTTGCCGCTGTGCGGAGGCGCGTCCGGTGCAGGGCGCGCGTGCGAGTTATCGCGTGCGGCTGGTATTTGTTGTGGAAAATGTATGAGCGGCGAGTTGTCCTGAGTGAGAGCGGGTGGGAGCGGCGTGGGGCGGCCGCCGAGCGTTGTTTTTGCAAAGTCGGTTTATTTTCTGTGCGAGTTTAAATACAAGCTATTTCGGCATTATGGCGACGAACGTGACAGTGTCATTGGACCAGGTTCCGGTGATGGCAAGTGCAGTGGCGCCGACAATCGTCCCGCGACCGGTGACAGCGCCGGTGCCGGTTGGTGATGGTGGTGTGCCAGACTCGGCACCCGTCTCACAGCCTGTGGTCGCGGTACCTTCGGCACCTTTTGATGCGCGGCTGATACCGGAGTTTGACGGGACCGAAGATGTGGTCAGCTGGCTGGCGCGTGCTGAGATGCTGTGCCAGCTGAGGGGAGTGGCCGCCGAGACTGTGATTCCTCTGCGCCTCGCTGGCGGTGCTTTCCACGTATGGTCCCAGCTGCCGGCGGCCAGTCGCTGCTCGCTGACGGCCGTGAGAGACGCCCTCCAGGCGGCGTTTGCTCTCGATGAGTACGCCGCCTATGAAGCGTTCGCCGCTCGGCGACTGATGCCAGGAGAGTCGGCGGACGTATTCCTCGCTGACCTCCGCCGGCTGGCGGCGCTGTTCGGAGGAGTGCCGGAGCGAGCGCTGGCATGCGCATTCGTGGCAGGCCTGCCGGACAGCGTCCGGCAGATGATCCGTGCTGGTTGCCGGGCAGATGGACTGGACCTGTCGTCGGTGCTGGCGCGCGCTCGCGCTGTACTGACCGACGGGCGGCTCTCCGCAGCAGCAGCAGCGGCGCGTCGGACTGTGCCGCCGCCGGCTAGCCACCCACCTGCGGCGCCTGGTCCCGGCCAGCCGCCGGTGCCGATGCGTGGACGGCCTCCGCGCGTGCCGCGTCCGCTGAGATGTTGGACCTGCGGAGAGCCCGGGCATATCGCTGCGAGATGTCCGCGTCGGTCGGAAAACGGGGCCGGAGGGGACGGGTCAGCACCGCCGTTCTCTCCTGCGCGACAGTGAGCGGTGCGCTGCCGATTACACGCCTGCACGTGGACGGACGAGAGTGCACGGTCCTCATCGACACCGGGAGCACCGACACCATCATCTACGCGCCATTCTGTGCGCAGTGGAGACGACGGGTGGTGCGCGTCACCACGATCAGCGGCGACGACCTGAAATGCAGCGGCATTGGCAGTGTAACGGTCGAGGCGCCGACGGGCCATCGTGCCGCGCTTGAAACGCTGGTGGTGGAGGAGCGGCCGCTCGGCGTGGATATGGTGCTCGGGGTCAGCGGTATCTCGGCTCTCGGGGGCGTGACGGTGCTGTCCCCCTCTGTGGTGCGGTTCTGTGGAGCAGTGTGCCGTGCGCCGCCAGACATTGAGACGCCGGACTTCCGGGTGCAGTTCAACGCGGCTGACCGGAAGTGGTCGGTTGCATGGAAATGGTCTGATGGGATAGGACCCCAGTGCCTCACGAACGCTGTGCCGCAGTATGCTGTGCCGCCCGCCGCTCGTCACGAGTTCGAGACAGAACTTGACGACTGGATAGAGCGGGAGTGGCTCGTGCCGTATGACGAGCGGCGACAGGGGCCGCCGAAAGGGTTGGTGCCGCTAATGGCTGTGGAGCAGCGCAATCGGGGGAAAGTTCGACCGGTGCTGGACTACCGGGAACTGAATGACTTTGTGCAGGCTCACACAGCTGACAGCGACGTGTGCGCGGAACAGCTCCGCAAGTGGCGCCGGCACGGCGCAAATGTGGCGGTCGTGGACCTGAAGCGTGCCTACCTCCAGCTGCACCTGGAGGAGCGACTCTGGCCGTTTCAGACGGTGATGGTGCGGGGGCAGCGATTCTGCTTGACCCGCCTAGGTTTTGGTTTGAATATCGCGCCCCTCGTGATGAAGGCTGTCGTGCGTGCTGTGCTCGATCAGGACCCCGACATCGGGCGTGCCGTCCTCCCATATGTGGACGATCTCCTTGTAAATGAGGACATTGCCAGTGCCGAGCGCGTGGTGGCGCATTTCGCGCAGTTTGGGCTGGACTGTAAGCCGCCGGAGCGGGCGGCCAGTGGAGCGCGGCTCCTGGGCCTGCGGGTGCACGAGGAGAACGGACAGCTGCGGTGGAAGCGGGACAATGCCGTGAGCGCGCCGCCAGAACGTGTGACTCGCCGATCTGTGTTCGCGTGGTGCGGACAGCTAGTGGCCCACGTACCAGTGTGTGGGTGGCTTCGACCCGCGGTTGCATGGCTTAAGCGGCGTGTAAATGAGCTGACGCGCGGATGGGACGACATCACTGATGACTCCGCGCTGCGCGTGCAGATGGACTGTATCGCGAGTCGCCTCGCCAGTGACGACCCGGCCCGTGGCGTGTGGTGTGTCGACGGGGACGAGGTGGTCGCCTGGACAGACGCCAGCTCGCTGGCCACCGGAGTGGTCCTGGAAAACACAGACGGTGAGGTGATCGAGGACGCATGCTGGCTCAGGCGAGACGACGCTGTACACATAAATATGGCCGAACTCGATGCCGCTATTCGAGGCATCAACTTGGCTGTTGCGTGGGGCGCACGGAGAATCGACCTCCGAACCGACTCGGTGACGGTGAAGCGGTGGATCGACGACGCGATCAGTGGCCGCGCGCGCCTCCGTACTAAAGCCAGCGGTGAGCTGCTCATCCGACGGCGTGTGGCGATTATCCGTCAGCTGGTCATCGAGTTGGAGCTCCGTCTGACCGTGGCGCTCGTTCGATCGGCGGATAATCGCGCTGACGCACTGACTCGAGTGCCCAGGGAGTGGCTCCGAGACGATCTGACGTCGACAGTGAGCGCGGCAGCCGTGAGCGCGGCTGGCGAGCCGTCGGCAGTGAGCGCAGCTGCTGTGAGCGCGGCTGCAGCGGGCGAGCCGTCGGCAGTGAGTGCGGCCGCTGTGAGCGCCGCTGCATCGGACGAGCCGTCGGCAGTGAGCACGGCGGCTGTGAGCGCGGCTGCATCGGGCGAGCCGTCGGCAGTGAGCGCGGCGGCAGTGAGCGCGGCCGCAGCGGGCGGGCCGTCGGCAGTGGGAGTAGCTGCCGCGGGCGAGCCGGCAGTGAGCGCAGCCGCGGTGGGTGAACCGTCGGCAGTAAGCGCGGCCACAGCGGACGAGCCGAACGCTGTAAACGCGAGCCTCGATGGTGCAGAGAGCGTGGCTGAAGTGCACGAGCGAGCTGGTCATCCGGGCGTCCGACGGACATTGTATTTTGCTCGCCGATGTATCGGCCGCGTCTCGAGAGACCAGGTACGCGCTGTGGTGACAAATTGTGATGTCTGTCGAGCGATCGACCCGGCTCCAGTAAAGTGGCGACACGGGTCGTTGGGTGTACCACAGACGTGGCACAGACTGGCCATTGATATAACTCATTATGGGGGCCATCCGTACCTCAGTGTAATCGACTGCGGGCCGTCGCGGTTCACTGTGTGGCGGCCGCTGCGACGGCAGGACAGTGTGTGCGTTATTCAGCGGCTGGAGGAGATATTTTTTGATCGAGGAGCTCCGGCGGAGCTGTTGTGTGATAACGATCCTGTGTTCCGCGGCCGACCGTTTGCCGTGCTCGCCGCGCGCTGGGGAGTGGCGGTGAGGTTTCGGGCGGCCCATGCACCGAGCGGGAACGGTGTCATCGAGCGCTGCCACCGGACAGTGAAAGTGATCGCCGCCCGGAAACGGTGCGATATCGCCGAGGCGGTGCACTTGTATAATGTGACGCCGCGTGACGGCGAGGCGGTGGCCAGCGCCCCGTTTTGTGGCGTGTACAGGTACGAGCCGAGTGACTGTGTGCGGTTGCCGGCTGCTCCGCCAGGGACGGCCGCGGACGGTGGTGCCGGGGCGCGGGAGCTCCCTGCGGTGGAGACGGGCCCATACACAGTCGGAGACGCGGTGTGGGTGCGCCGACGGGGGACGCGCTGCACGGAGCCGTCCCGCCGGGGTACCGTCACGGCGGTGGTCTCTCCGCAGGTTGTCGATGTGGACGGTATGCCACGACACGTCAGGGATTTGCGGCGGCGCAGAAATAGTGAGCCACCCCCATGTGCTGAAATTGACGCGGACGACCCCATCTACGTGATGGATCCCCCGTCTCTCCCAGTCCTCCAGCCGGCTCCAGTCGAGCAGGGGCCGGAGTTATGCGACGCTCCAGCGCCGGAGCCTCCTGCCGTGGCTCCTCGGCGAAGTCAGCGCACCCGCCGTCCTCCGCAAGGATGTTTCTGTGAGAGATGTAAATGATCCTCAGGATCAGGGGGAGGTGTAGTTGCCGCTGTGCGGAGGCGCGTCCGGTGCAGGGCGCGCGTGCGAGTTATCGCGTGCGGCTGGTATTTGTTGTGGAAAATGTATGAGCGGCGAGTCGTCCTGAGTGAGAGCGGGTGGGAGCGGCGTGGGGCGGCCGCCGAGCGTTGTTTTTGCAAAGTCGGTTTATTTTCTGTGCGAGTTTAAATACATCAAATATACATTTATTTTATATTATTTTTGCATTTTATATCCTATTTTGAAGTATTCATTAATTTGAATCAATTTTATCAAATTGAAAACCAGTAAAGAGGAAATCCCTTTCCTCTAATTTCCCTCGCCAGCGGGCCTCCGCGCCATTTCTCAAGGCTCGAGGTGCGAGGTCTCCGTTTGGGCAAGCGCGTGGACAATTATCTATTATTGATTATATAATCAATAATCATATGTGGCATGTTTTTTGGGGGGGGGGGTTGTCTTGCACAAGACCTTTGCTGGCATGTTTTTGTGTCTTTGTGGTTCGTTATTTGTTTCAAGCTGGATTGCGTCAAATTTGTCAAACTTGTATTAGATAGGATAGGTAGGTACAAGGCCATTTATACTGATACCATATAGGTAGGTAGGTACCAGTCCACTTGGTTATGTTTTGATGTTGCTTTAATGTATTTCAAATAGTATTTCAATATACTCAGCAGTTTTTGTTTCATGTTAAGATGTGGCATGAAAAGCATATTCTGGATGTTGTGTATATTTTATACCCCATTCATATTTCTCACTTCATTCACAATTTTAATAATAATTTGTATATTTTCCATCATGAATAATTTTTAGCATCAGTGGTCATCCATTACCTACATGTCCAGATTTCCTAACTAGTTATAAATAAGTCTAACACTTGGGCTGTAAGACCACAACCTGCTGCGCTCCTTGAACCCTTATTTTATATGTAGAAGCTGCTGTTTTTGACTGAGACTCTGGCAAATATCTTTATACTTAAAGCGTACCTATAACAATACGCATGGCCCTATAGTGCCTTACTTCAGGATTTTTGTTCCGTGAGCAGCCAAAAATTTTGTTCCGTGAACTTAGATCCCCAAACCACTTTTCTGACACTGTATGAAAGAGCTATGAAACATTTCTTTAGATTTTTGGTTGTCTGCAATGCAAACTTAATTTGCTGGCATACAATTGCTCAATCTACAAATCAGCATTTTAATTTGTTTTTCTTCTCTTAGGTAAATAAGTAGATTGAGATGGTTTTGTCGGGAAGCATTCTTAAAATCATGGAAATTTGTTCAGTATAGTATGCCTATTGCCTTCAAATAATAATTATTTAACCTTATGAGCAGCTGACAAGGTACCAGTTTTATTGAGAAGAAAAGAGGCATTTTCATATTTTTATTGAAATGTTGATTTATATGAGCAGAAGTGTTCAACTTTACAACACAATCTTAGAAGTATCATTAGTAGTAATTGCATTATTTGCCCTTTCAGAAGTCTCCTAGCACCCAGGTAGATGACTCCTGCAATACTGCGGCCCTGCCTCAAGAGGCGGCTGCTGGTACTGCTGTTTTGCCTAACTGCCACAGCATGTTTCATTCTGGGAGTATGCATCAGTGTGGTCATCCTTGAGCCTGAGCGTTCAGGTCTCAGGTGTTCAGAGTCCAAGCAATCGGAACCAGATGGACCAGAGTACAAGGTGAGAGCCAGGTTCGCTTTGATTGCTAATCAGTATATCAACTAAGTGTGTGCTAGAGCCTAGATATTCTGCAATTTTGTTGTTTTGTTGGCTGATAAGGAGTGGCATTAGCTTAAAAAGTTTAAAGTAGCTGACAGGTTTGCTTTTATCAGTCCCTAAAATAGTTTGAAGCATGATAGGTGGTAGCTCAGTCATTGCATTCATATTCACTAAGTTTGTACTTTGCCGCTCTGCTTATAATTCTGCATTGTACATTATCATATCCAGTTAGCAGCAGCTCTCCTGCAGTGTCGGTAATGCCCCCGCTCTTTCCCTTTCATCCAGCTGGTGGTGCTCGTGCTGACCGCCCCCGACAATGTGGAGCGGCGCGACACGCTGCGCGCCACCTGGCTGCGGCCGCGCGGCGGCTCACCGCCCCCGGCGCGCCACTGGTTCGTCCTGGGCGGCGCCGCGCTGCCAGCCGAGCAGCACTCGCGCCTGCTGGCCGAACAGAGCCGTCACGGAGACCTGCTGATACTACCGCACGTCACCGACGCCTACACCCAGCTCACCGAGAAGGTGCTGGCCGCGTTCGTCTGGCTCGCCGCGCACTCACGCCACCAGTATGTGATGAAGTGTGATGATGACACCTTTGCCCGGCTCGGCCCGTTGTTGACTGAACTGGAGTCGGCGCCCAGGAGTCGATTTTATATGGGTTTCTTCGATGGCCGCGCGAGACCCCGTCGGACGGGAAAGTGGGCAGAGCCCTCGTGGGACATCTGCGACCTGTACCTGCCGTACGCGCTGGGTGGGGGTTACATCCTCTCCAGTGACCTGGTATCATACCTCGCCACGGCCGCGCCCCACCTGCGCCGCTTTAACAGTGAGGACGTATCAGTGGGTGCGTGGCTGGCACCTCTGGCCATCGATAGGCGCCACGATCCGCGCTTCGACACTGAGTGGGAGTCGCGGGGCTGCGACAACCGTCATCTGGTGACGCACAAGCACAGTGTGGCCCAGATGACCGAGATGCATCGTACTCTGGAGCGACGCGGCGTGCTCTGCGACAAAGAGAAGAGGATCCGGGGATCGTACGTGTATAACGCGTCCGTGCCGCCGTCACAGTGCTGCAAACGGGTCACGGATACGTCACTGCCGTGAGTGAATGGGTTTAGTGGGAGGTCGGGGATGGGTCTTCATTTCATCGTGTGTGCGGCTCAAGGAAGTGTATTTCTCTTGTCTGAAAGTGACAGTGATAGGTATGTATCACCTAATGGAGCTCACTTTTTAGTGATGAATTGGTAACGATCGTGAAAGTGACGTAGTTGTTTTTATACTTAGGCTTTATTCGTGCCACCGTATGTCTGATAAGGTGACTCCTGCCAGACTTGTACGAAATGTTTTTAAAAGTTGACGCTTTACCGAAATAGCCACGAGCTGAGGAAGGCGTTCGTAATCAGCATTTTAAGCCAGATCTTACCCGTCGTTAGCTACGAGTTCCTCCGATCACGACACATTGGAGGTAAGACTATCTAAGACGTTTTTAGTGGTGAGGTGTGGTGAGTGACGGACACTTTGGTTTGTGTTGTCTGACGGTAGATGGCAGCAATCGACCGTGAGGGCCGAGGCTCTGTGTAGCGACTGGTAGGCTGCCGAGTTATCAATGACTTTCTAGATTGATGTGAGTAGCATGTATTGCTGACATTATTTTGATAGTTCCTGTAGTGACATTGACTTTGTGACATATTACTTATTTATTATGAGAGCTGTAGGTAATGGTGCCCTGTATGTATGCAGTATAATCGCTAGCATTACGATAGATGTAAGATTGAGGTTATAGTACGGTTGTGACAGTAGAAGTGCTCGTTGCCACCGGCATCCAGCTTAGAATGGATCAATGACTGCATTTCGGGATTGGTATAGGTACTGCATTTTTCATGAACATCGTCATCGCACCCATCTCGTAACTTATATTGTGATCGCGTGAAGGTGCCAAAAACACCGCGATTTGATAGCGCTAGGACTGTACCTACACTTTTGTAGTTAGCGTTGCTTATAGGATTGCCCTTTAACCCACCAGTGCTACCTTCAATGTTGTGTCAGACCGTTACTAATGTATTGGTTGTGCAGAATGTAAGCGTTGTTTTAACATTTGAATGTCTCTCTCAGTTTCCGGTTCGCGGTCGTTTCTAGTCGTCCATTCTGCTCCAATTTGTGATTCGTGTTTCCAGAACAGTTTTTCGAAGGTCTGGCTGCTTCTTAGATATTTTATTTCATTGGATCTTTAACGTAAGCTTGTAAATGAAGGGTATTATTTGTGATAGCCGAAATTATGTGAATAAATCACATTGATTTTTATCCATGCGTTATTCCCTGGTCGATCGGTTGAATTCTCTGTGATGAGGGACACTGCGAAATTAGTCGAGTTTGCTCTTATCACGTCACTGTTGGTTGAAGCTGCAATATTTGCTCTGAACCGATGGGCCATGAGCTCAAAATTTTGGCCTATCTTCCGTGTTTGCCATATACTGATATGTTTATTCGCCGCAATATGCCGGTGTGTGTGTGTCAATTGCGTCATTTTGCGTGCGTCTTTCCATTAATTCTGGCTCATCTGTCGCATGGTCCGGGTGGCGTTAATTAAGGATTCTTCAGGAAGATTAATGATAACGGAACACCTGTTTTACTGTTTCCAACGTATCCGCGCCTGCTTCGTTAGATTTCTAACCCTCGGAGCAACCATGAGACTTGTGACGCTTTGTAAATCCACTGTCAAACATAAGGCAGAGTTTGGCCCTTTGACAGGTGCACGAACCCGGCCCTCAGCTGGCACGTGCTGTGACGTCACCCGTGGAAGCGGTTCGCCCCCGCGCCGGTGGATCAGGGCGGGTCGGCAGGATGTCCTTGGTATGTCGGTCCGCTCTGCAGGCTGGGCCCAGCTCTCTGACCTCAACTTGCTGCCATCTGTGAGCTGCCACAGCCACAGGAAGCTTACAGGAGGTGCCACTTCTATCCTCCACTGAGGAATCACTCCGGTGTAAGGCTGTCGGCCGCGGCACGTCTATATAAGGCAATCCCCTGGTGGCCTCCAACCCAGCGGCCGATGTCATAATAGGACCTCAGCTGCCGACGCCACATTCTACAGCAGAGGGCGCACCTGGTAATCGAGCAGCACTCTCATAGCAAAAGGCGTGTTTGTTTATCGCACCTCCACCATCGACAGTCTCAACTGCCTTCAAGCAACGTGCCCACTTGCGTCCGACTCGATCATACCATACCTAGCGGGCTTTTCGCCCGTTTTTCGCCCATCCCGTCGAGTGCCGTCGACGCCAGAGCCTCTAGCGGAGACGGCTGAAAGTGAAAGTCGCTTGCTCAGTGCTGAGCGAACCGTCACGAAGGGTGGAAGTACGCGCCGCGAGCGCAGAGGGTGTGTTCGTGAGTGAGCGGGCGCCGCCTGCCAGCAGTGCCATGGCGGACGAAGACCAGTATGGAATCAGCCAGAGTGGCCTGGTGGCCCGCAGTCCGGAGGGACATGCAGCGCGTGGCATGCAGATCAAGGGCAACGAGGATGTCTGGATCGAGATCCAGGCGCACACCTTCAAGAACTGGGTCAACGAGAAGCTGGCGCCTTCGGGGCTGCTGGTTGAGGACCTGGTGGAGGACCTGCGAGACGGAGTCTGCCTCGTCACCCTCGTCGAGATCCTGCAGCAGAAGAAGCTGCGGAAGATCGCGCGCCCGATGAACCAGCACCAGTGGCTGGAGAATGTCACCACCGCGCTCAGAGCCATCGAGCAGGACGGCATCAAACTAGTCAACATCGGTGAGTGCTCCTCTTCCCCTGAATATAGACCCACCTGCCGATTCTGTAGTGTCAGTGCTCTAACTATACTGATACGGTGTGCCCCTCGCTGGGGGCCTTCCAGGGGAGTTGCATCGCCGGCGACAATGCACGATGATGTCATCATTGCGACCCCTGCACACGTTTCACCACAAGATGTACTGGCCCTCAGCACACGACCCTCCCTCTGAGATCAGTCCCTACCTCTCTGGTGAGAGCCAGCCAGTCATCGCCTTCCGAGTTCCACCTCGCGTGAACTTGGTCCGCCCGTCTGAAGGTGGGGAGGGGCGGTTGCCGCTCCCCTCCCCTCCCCCTCACGGTCTCGCTCGGTTGGTGAGGCGCCATGGCGGAAAACCGGCGCAGCCCAGACAGTGGGGGGGGGGGGGAGGCTGCGCACGGAGGGGGCATTGAACGGCATACCTGGATACCTTGCAATGCACGAGCTCCAGGCCGTCACATAGAGATTGGATGGAATCAAAGGATAGTGTTCCACATGCATGGTTGGAGGAGCACCTGTCATTCGGGAGCACACGGCAGCCACTAAGTAATAATCTTGATTGATTGAAAGCTGTATCGAAATGCTAAAGTAATAAGAAATGCTAGAACAGGTCTGGCTCCAGGAATAGCGTTGGTTGACAAGTGACAGAGCTGACACGACTCAGCTGCAACAAAACCGCTTCATGCAATGGTAGCGAAGGTCAGTCAGCAGGCAGGCAACAAGGCTATTTCCATCAGATCCTCTGGATTAGATCGCACGCACCTGTTACTGCCCCAGAGTAATGTGCTTGCCACAGCCGCCTCCATCCGCCCTCACTCTCTTCCAGAGGCCCTGTCGCGACCTTGAGCCAGTTCTGCAGGGCCTCACTGGAAGAATGCTCGTGTAGGAGGCACTGTAGTCCTTGCAGAGATGTGCAATGGCATACATAATTATGCACCTGTAGGTATTGCTATGCAAGTGCCGTCCATTGTGAAGGAGAGAAGAGAAAGAGAATCCATACCATCCGCCGTTGATTCTGAACGGAACTTCAGGCTGTATGAAAAAGGGAGACGTCTATATAATTGAGTTGTAGAAGGTATAATTGAGTTCTTTCTTGTCGTTTACACGCATGGGAATTGTTTGTCATGTTGCAGCTGTGCTTTGTGTCGGGAAGAGCCGACTCGTGTGAGTGTAAGGGTTATGTTCAATCACGTGGATCATGTGAGGTGGGAGACACTTGTTGCGTCTGTGGAAGGCGTGTGCTTTGTCGTCGCTGGAAGTTTTTTTTTTAGTCCGTGGGAAATATTTATTGATATGTCGTTGAGAGTCGTTTATTGTGTCGGTGGGATACGTTTATTTTATGTCACTGGGTGACGTCTGTGGAAGATGTCAGTGGGAGATGTTTATTATGTCGGTGGAAGATGTTTCTTGTGTCGGTGGGAGCCGTTTATTGTGTCATTAGGAAACATTTATTGTCTATTGGAAACGTTTCTTATGTCGGTGGAAGACGTTTGATGTGTCGGTGGGAAACGTTTGCTGTGTCGATGGGACGGAGACGTTTACTGTTCGGTGTGTCGGTGGGACATATCTGCTGTGTCGTTGGGAGAGGGAGACGTTTGTCCATTGTTGTATCGGTGGGAGACGTTTCTTGTGTCGGTGGGAGGCGTTTATTGTGTCGTGGGGAGATGTCTACTGTGCCGGAAGATTTGTCATGTGTCCGTGGGGTCTATTTTGAGAGAGAGAGAGAGAGAGAGAGAGAGAGAGAGAGAGAGAGAGAGAGAGAGAGAGAGAGAGAGAGAGAGAGGAAGAGAGAGGGAGAGAGAAAGAGAGGAAGAGAGCGAGAGCGAGAGCGAGAGCGAGAGAAAGAGAGAGGGAGAGAGAGAGAGATAGAGCATGTGAGATGCTAAAACTATGTAACCTGAAATGAAATCATAACGTTATATCGGCATGAGGTAGACTTGCTGGAATTAGAATTACTCATTAATTAAAGATGTGGGCGTGGCTGTTTCGATCAAATGTAAATCACTCACCAGACATGTGGTGTAAATCCGAATCAATCATGGTTTATTTAAATGACTCGAGATCGCTGCGGGTCAGATGACTTGGATGAAGTGACGTCACAGCTGAGGTGAGTAATCCGAGCCTATCCCCACCGGGGAGTGACGTCATTATTCTCCTCGAGGAATGAGGTGATTGGTCACCTGATGAGAATGGAGTCATTCAGGGAACCGATAGAAAGGGTCGAGAGATAATAAACAAGTCAACGGTGGACCGTCGGCTCCTCGTCATCTGGTGCTAGGAATTCGGCTCCTTAAAAAGTGATAAGCAAACATATTTAGCACGATGACGAGATGCCAAAAATTATGTTTAAAAAACGCCATGGCCACACACCATCACTTCATTGCTAGACAAAGCACATGGCCCCGCTGACACGTCTAACCGCCGCGCGCGCACGACTGCAGACATTTATTCCTGCTAACAGGGAGCGCCGGCTGCCTGCTGTCGAGGAAAATTGGCCCACCAGGTAGAAGCCGTGAGCCGGCAAGGGAAACACACAGTCATGCTGCATTCATCAGGAAGGGAAACGAATGAGGTGAACGGCATGGCGACAGCGGCGAGTGCCAAATTACAGCTGTTTTCTATTGGAGGGCGTGAGGTGACATGGATGTCACAATGGTGTTAAGTTGCGCTGATGTATCTTCATGAAAAATGAGGCGTAGCAGAGCTTTGCCCGGTGTGGGCCCTGCCATCCAGCTTGAGACATTGCTGCCTGCATCGCTCACTACCAATTCACGTTTTCTTCATATGCCTAAAACCCCTTCGAATCGCAGCACTAATCACAGTCACGGCTCTGTTAGACCAGCTACCGCATTTTTGCGTCCACCCCACCGTATTCACAATGTGCACCCATCCGAACTGAAAACAGTCGCTACGCTCGTGCTGTGAACCCTGAAATCGGCCGAAACCCACGGTTCGCCACACACCCCGACGGGGGTTGCCCTGGCCGCTAGTCATCCTATTTCGGCTGAGAGGGGGGAGGGCGATTGGTAAATAGGGAGGGAGGGGCACCATGCGGGTAAGGTCACTGGAGCAGAATGCGGGTCACGCCCGGCGCTCCGGGGCACAGCCAGCGATGCTGAGTGATGGACTGAGCCCAGGGGATTGGCTGGCATACGGTAGTGGAAGGTCGTCGCATGATTATTGCTGTATCTTTTGTGGAAAGTAACGTGCACTGCATACATACTAACTGCAATCAGCGGAATCATGGGCAGAATAGGGAAAGCTGTTTAAGTAGCTAACTTACGTTTCATATATTTTTAGTTGCAACATTGTCTGAATGTAAATATGACGAGATACTTAAACGCTTCAGTGAAACGAATGCCTATAATATGATACACAAGCGGTATTAAAACGGATAGTTCGGCGTATAACTACAGTCAGAAACGCCCATTAGTGGTTTGTGGCCATGCTCATCCAATTCGAGCTGACTGACTGAACCTAATTAATCATCCTCTGGAAGTCAGTTAGACGGCTTCTGGCATAAAATTACGCTAATTACGTCCTTGCCGAGCTGTTTCACTCGAGCTTCAGCTTCAGCGGCATTGATGACTTGGTCGAATTGGGTTCAATAAAACGTTAAGCGTTTTATTGAATGTTAACTAAAACGTCAAAACGTTTCACATTTAACTCATGATAATTCACCGACTTTGAATTGATTGCAAAGTGACATCGCAACTTGCTATAGGAGTTGATCTTTGTCAGCCCTATGTTCGACCTGCCTTTTGACTAACTCTCATTGCAGTTTGGCGCCAAATAACACACAAGTTCGTGGAACGATGGTATAGCATGTTATTTATTAGTTTATTAGTTGCTGTAAAATTGTTTTATTTTGGTAATTTAATTAGGCCTAGCATCATTGTGCTGCAAGGCGTACACGTGTTTTCTGAGCTGCTGACATGACCCATCAAGCCACATAGAGGAACAGCATTCCATCCTTCGGTTTTTATTCCATTCCGGCGTGACATTGCACTCATACTGGGTCACTCAGCCTTGAAGTTGATTGAGACATACATATATTCACATGGGGTGCTACTGCTTATGTAGGTATACGCATGATATAGGTAATTGTTTCCACCTATGAGCGGTTAAAAAGCGCGACGGACCATTCAGCGAACGTCTGAAATGGGCAAAAGTTTGTTCTTTAAGCCCACTCGAAAGAATAAACCGTTAACATTTCCCAATATATTGCAACAATTTAATCACTGCATCTTCAAAGACTGATGAAATAGTCAGTAAACTATGCTTGGTAAATCACCCTAGTGAATGCTATCCTCCTTGATCACTGACACACATCTAACGAACGGGCCATGTGAATCGACGTCTCTGTGATTCCATGCGGATGAAGATCTGCTGCCTGCGGTATACCGGTGCCAGCTCGCAGCTCCCACGCGGATGGGCCCCCTCCCCACCCGCCATGATACAGTGGGAACTGGGACGGATCTCGGTGATGTGAGCGGTGCTCCCAGGTCAGCCGGGGTCACACGAGGTCAGTCTGAACAAGGTCACCGCTCGGCCGGCCGATGCCGGGCGCATCCACACGGGCAAGGCCAGCACGATGTGTTGCGGTAGCGCCAAGAACAAAGGTGAAGGCGGGCTCTGACAGCGCAATAACAGCGCGGCAGTGGCAGGCTGAGGCGTTCAAGTGAACGCAGGTTGATATAGGGACTAAGTAACAACTCATCCATCAGATACTGGAAACGTTGAATCATTATTCAGGACCGCGATCAAAATGTTATTGGGCGCTGCGCGCAGGCACAGAAAGATGTTCCCTTTTGTAAGATCGCAGGTCTTGGGTGGCATACATTAGCATGCAAAGCAGTTTCGCACCTATGCTATGAATAGAACTATGGTGAGACAAAGTGTGACAAAGTCAAAGCCTAAAAGCTGAAACGGCATGACAACCGCACGCATATGTTCTAGCTACCTGTAATGGGGTGCATTTTTG